GAAGACTACACAAAGAATCACCTAGCAGAGCAGGATGGAATTAAAACAAAAATATAGACGTGACTTTAGAAAAATCAAAAGAGAAAAAATAAAACTGCTACACTGAGAAAAGTATTTTCATGTATATAAAGATATTTGTGATCAACTAGCATACAAATTATCTTCTCTACTGAGAGCTAAACTGAAGCCTGTGGAAGAAAGAATTATAACTGATTACACCATGTTTAAGGAATATGCTAAAACTCAGAGCTATTCTACAACATTCGTGAGATTAAGCAAATTGCACAAATTAGTATGAAACACTCATAATTTCATTTCTCATAAAAGAATGTTATTCAAAATTTGTTAACTGAAATTAAGCGTATTTATTTGCATACTGAGAGAGTCAACTAGTGTTATGAAATTCACATGTAGGAAGAAGAGTTTCTCCTTTTCATTATCTGATAGTTATTTTTAGGTACATATAACTATGCTAATAATCTCTACCCTACATTTTTAAAAACAGAATATATACATAACAAGAATTTCATATCAAACAAAGCCAGTCTGCCCACACATTTTTATAATCATGAACAATAATTTCCAGATGAATTTTACTCCCCACTTCTCAGTGTTATTTACTGCTAAGCATTTAGTTGTTAGAGATCACTGGAATCTAATAATAAGAGAAGCATTCAACCAAACCTAAAAAATACCCAGATCGTGGTTTAACTGGTCTTCAATAGTGAATATATCATCATTCAATATTATCAAATCATAGGTAATTACTTATTTACTCACTTATTAAGAATCAACAACGGTTTTTATTGCTATAAAACACATTCAACACATTTTACTGTGATAAAAATGTTGCTTTTTCAGAATGAGATAAAAACCATCCAGAAGCTTCTGATTTAGTTACATTTCTAGAAAAGGGGATCTCAAAGATTTGAAGTTATATACACATATTAAATGAGTCTGAGAATTAACTCTGTACCATAACCAGGAATGGTAGGTAAACTATTAATTCAGAATGTAAAAAAAGAAGTGTAACAAAAATGTTGCTTAGAATCAAAAATCCTACTTAAAAATACAGAGACTATAAAATTGAAGACATCAAATGTGTGCTTATCTGTGGTACTAAAAATGTGTGCTTTAGAAATATTTTCAATCCTAAAAATCTGATGCTTTATGAGATGCTTTATGAGAGTAGCTGGGAACAAAAGAAAAGCTCTCAATATTATAACCTCTCCAATGGCTAAAAGTAATTAGACTGACAACAAACAGAATTCATCTCTAGAGCAGATCTCATTTGTATCAAATTTTTTAAAAGTCCATTTAAGTAAACATCATGCATTTAATATATAAATTTGATATGAATTTGAAAAATGTCTTAAAATGCATGAGCTTTACATAGGAAGTTATGGAGAGTAGTATACACCTTAAGACTAATGTAAAATAAGAATATACATTAAAGTGCAATAGGAAAATTCAGTGATAAAACATCAAAAACTCTGGCATTTAAAACAAACTTTTTATTTTTAAAGGTCAAAAATTAACATACCAGAAAAATACACATATCATTTGAAGCAGTTACACTCATTCTTGTTACACTATTCCATGCACAGTTCTGTAAATCTATGAAGTTCTAACTATGTAACGGAGTGGTAACTTAAAAACAGTATCAGTTCCACTCAGGGATTTAAGATTAACTCAGCTATGCATTAACTAAGTGCTTATTTCTTTTTGTGTTTGCTAAATTGTACAATTTGGATTGAAAGCATCCAGGACCTTATGAGCAGATATTGAAAAAGGAACGTCCCTCACAAGAGAAGGATCAGAAGATGGTTGTTTCTGTGGCTATTAACATCTGAAGCTGAAAGTTTCAGGCCATTGTAATATAAAGGCATGAAACTGAAGTGAGCTATCAGGAATTAAGATATTCAATAACACCTGAGGACACACATATTTTTAACCTTGTATCAGATGCTCCTTTTACACTGAGGTTCAAGCTAAGGCATCTTTACTTCACAGCATGAGCATATATAAGCAGTGATGACAGTGCAGATAATATGCTATAAATTAATTTGTGTGGCACATCCTACAGCCTGAGAACTTTACTGGTTCTCTTTGACAGAGACAAATAGTCAAGAAAAATCATAAGGAAAAATCATAAGGAAATTATTTGTGTATTACGCTAAGAATTTTGGTAATTAAAGGAAACTAATTATAAATCAATTTGTCAAAACAATTTCTATATTCTTAGATATTCTCTATGGTAATCTCATGAATGGCTCTGCATTGTCTCACATGATGTAAGCTGAGAGATAACGAAAGAAGATATCTTTGATAGACTTAGTTATTAAAACTGGAAAAAAAGTTTGTAGGCAAGAAGACCACAATCGGTCTTCATCAATACCTGTCAAAAGTAGCTCAAATTAGCAGAGCTTTCTACGTCCCTTGGTAATGGTATCAATAGATGTTATAGAAAATGTTGAAGTATGCAGCTATCGAAACTCAAATTTCAAATTTGAGCAGTTTAATTCACATAAATTAAATGCAAAGTAAAAAAAAAAAATTCTTGCTCACCATAAAAGAACTTTTTAATAAGCTTAATTGGCACCATCACTTTTCCTCATTAGAACAGGACAATTTTTTTTCAGTATTAGAAAATGAACAGAATAAGATAGCATCTAATATAGTTTATTCATCTCTTGCCAAATGTTTTCAGTACAGAAGCTGAAAAATATAATGATTTTAATTAATCTGATGTTTGTACGTGATGAGCACGTACTCTTTCTCATTGAAGCCAATAGGAGTTCCTAAAGCTGGGCAGCTTTGAACAGAAGCACAGTTCCCATACTTACAGATTTTGGTAGGTAACTCTAAGCTACCTGCATTTCAAAACATTGATCTCTGGGAATCTACATCTCTCTAGTGACAGCACACCTACAATTCCAAAACTTAAATCCTTACAAACTGACATACCCACGATAAATAGACTTTTGGTTTTATGTAGTGCTGGGGAAGCACGTGACGCTAAGCAATAAAAAAAAATGTGCTAATCCCCTAACCACAAATTCTACCCCAAAGAGCTGAAAGGGCACAAGCTGTAAAGCACGGGAAATGCAAAACACAACACAACACAGACAGAATGACAAGTGGTTGGTATTACTGAAATGCGTTACAAAATAGGTGGATTTTCTGGAGCTTTTTGAAGGAGGATAGTGAAGGATCTTTACGTACGTTAATTGGGAGGCTGTTCCATGTGTAGGAGGCAGCGTGGAAAAAGACACAAAGTTGGGAGTGAGCAAAAGAGACAAAAGGGGAATTAAGAGCGATGCTTGGGAAGTGCTGACGGTAAAGGAAATGAGGATCAAGGTTAAGCCAGACTCAAGAGTGCCTTGAACATGGCCAACTTTATGCAAGGGAGGAAAATATTCCTGGCAAAGGTTTAAGAAGTGAGGAAACATGGGTAACCATACAGGAAAGGAGAAATGATTTGTGTAGCATGTCCCATAAAAAAAAAAAAAACAAAACAAACATGAGAAAGTAAGGAAGTGGGAGATCAGTTCACACCAAATACCTTGTTGTAACAAACATTTCAGTCTTAAATAATAGAAAATAATTAACTTCACTGAGATTTTATCCAATACCCAGCCAGATGTGAGGAGTGGTAAGAACAAGCTGCAGTGATTCTTCATCTAAAGCTCTTAAATCATGTGAAAAATCATTATGCAGTGTAAAAACCACACATCCAAAATAAAATCAAATGGAAAAGGCTAGAAAAGAGGTGTTTAAGACATGGCAATAAATGTAGCAGTAAAATGTGTTTGTTGTGATTGCTCTATAAAATGGGTAAACTCACTTGATGCACAAATAAATTCTGTCATACAGAGGTTTAGCTGATGCGTTCCGCTTTATCATCACTGCCACCAGTTACAAGAAATACAAAGCTCTCAGTTTACACTGAACATTGATGAAGAAAACTTTTAAAATACAGAAGTGCTAGCCCATAAGAGAAATAAAATTAAATATTTTTTAAGCTTATGAAAGTGAATGAAACATCATGATTTTACTTGTTCTGAGCCAGAAGTGTCTTTTTGCATGGTCTAAGTTTACTTTCCTTCCAACTACAATTTTGTGTCATTTACAAGTACATATTCATCAGCTCAAGATCTAAGTACAAAAAAACTGAGCAATTTGTCACTAACATTAGTAATAGCAACTTCTATATTACTGAAGCCTTAAAAAGTAATATTGGAATTAGTATTAACACTTCCTCTCCTTGCCAATATTTTCAAAGGAATTATAAACATATTCATTATTCTTAGTGTTTGATATCTTTTGGGTTTAAACACAAATCCAGGTTCACAGAACTCACATCTTCTTAACAGATGTGGGGCTTGAATATTGGCATCTGAGTTCAACTCAAGATGTCATTTATGTCACCCTCTCCAACAGATTAAATCAAATCATACTATATTTTGCTGGAAACTTAGAAAGAGACATCTAAGTCTCTATGCCTCTTTCATGTAGTGATAGTTCATCAGTAGACCCAATTAGCTTACTCTTTTTTATTTTCTTTCCACTCATACTGTCCCAAATTCTCTGTTTAGAATATAGATGATTGGACGTTGGTGACTTGCACTATATCTCAGTTAGAGAACTCTGTAAAACGGTCCCTCTCTTTTTTTTTCATTTGTGCATGTGCAAGATGGCAGAAAAAAATATTAAATAGATTTCCAAACTCAGTTTTAGAAGATCGCAACTCAGAAATGCTTTCTTTAACTCCAATTAAAGCTTGTAGGAAAATCCTTTTCACTTCAAAATGCAATCTGACTTCGAAAAATTCTACATAGTCTTTTGCACGTTTTAAAGTGTAAAAGTAACAGGATGTCAGTTACACCCTTAATTACAGAGCAAGAAATTTATGCATCTCTGCCTATATAATGGTATGTCACACACAAGTCAGTTTGAACAAGCTCTTATTACAAACACACAGGGAAATCTGTACTTACCCACAAATCATGCTCAGCATAATCAAACAGCAGCCAAACCTTTCTGTCACTGTGAGAAAGGAAAACTTTCTGCAACGCAATCACGTTTGGGTGCTTCAACTCTCGTAAAAGCTGCAGAGAAACAGAGAAGTTCTTGTTACTTCTGTGCTTGTACAACGCAAACACACCAACAAAACCACCAGACAGGTCAAATAGCAAACAAGTGATCCTTAAACAGGCCCTAGAAGAAAATCTGCCACTGATTCAGCACATTATCTTAAAAATATCTAAATAAGGACATGGGCAGCCTCCACGTCATGGGTTGCTGTTCTGCCAGCACAGTTGCCTGTCACTACCTACTTTCTCTGTCCCAAACTCAGCACACAGCTGCCCATCCCACCTATCCATCCCACTTGCCAACAGTGTCTATCTTAAAAGATGTTATCACAGAATCAACTCTGTTGGAAAAGACCTCTCAGATAGTCGGTCCAACCTATTGACAAAACACCACCATGTCAACTCAACCATGGCACTAAATGCCAGGTCCAGTCTTTCCTTAAACACCTCTGGGACAGTGACTCCACCACCGTCCTGAGGAGCCCATTCCAAAGCCCAATCCTTTTTATCAATAATGACACACAAACACAACTGTTTTCTTGTCAAAGATGAACATCAGGATTTAAGGATGCCAGGAGGAAGCTTGTGCAGCTGGTCCAATTCTTTGTGTGGACAACACAGTTCTTGATCACCACATATTTATTTTATTACCAATAATTCTCTTTTCCTTTGGATCCCTGACTCACTTGGCTCGAAAATCATGGGCTGTTGTTCTCAAGAACTAAGGGTGTTTTCAAAGAAACGTTTACCAAAATGTTTTTTCTAATGGTTGCTTCAACTACTGTCCCGTAATCCAGAAATAAACCCAAGCTTATTTACTGCTTGCCAGAAAGAAAACTAGGTCTCATGACTAATTAGACAGCACATTAAAGCAGGCACCGCTGCTGAAGTTATCCTTCTGCCAGATTAAATTAGTCTCAGGAGGTGCTGGGAAGCAGTACTCCCAAAAATACAATTTCCATGGAATCAGTTTTCCTCCCTTCCCCCTTTCCGCACATCAGTCACAAGAATGATTGATAATTTCTGTTTTATCTGGAAATTGCTTGCATCTGCAGCACTAGTATATACATTGCCAAGAATCAATTTATAATGGCGAAATAGTAAATGGAGTAGGTTCCAAGGCCCATTCAAGAGAAATGAATCTTCCTTTTTTTCACTTTACAGTAAAAGACTCGAGATGTTTATTTTAGGGGAAATAAAAAAAATTAATTTTAAATTATATTATCCTTTGGCTATACAGGTATCTGTCAAGACAAGAAATCTTCTAAAGAATATAGCTGCTTAAATCTATTCCTGTTTTTCAGCAAATGAAAGAAACATCTTTTCTACCATGCAGGAAGCGTTTTCTTCTTTTTGTCTCTCTTCTTCTTTCTCTAAACCTGAGCTTTCCTTTCTCCAGGCTAAACAACCCCAGTTCCTTCAGCCTCTCCTCATAAGATTTGCTCTTTGTTACATTCTGGCTGTCAAGACCGGGTGCCACAGCAGCTGGGCCTTCAGCAGGAGCCAGACCAAGGAAATGTTGGCTCCAGAAGTTCAACACACTTTTTCAAGAACAGGAGCTCTGCTCTACTATGCTGGACTTGCAATGGTGCTCAACACCAAGACAAGATCAGAAATGATATTGTAGAGTACAAGTGATGAGCATGAGCCACAAACAGAAATGCTGGTAAGATTTATGTCTAAAAATAATCTTGTCTAGAAACAGACTACAGCAGAAGAGGGAGTGACCGTAAGGATTGAGCTGCTGTAGCTCATAGGTACATTGTGGTGGGGGAAAAAAAAGGTGTTTTTTTCCCCCTGGAGTTAAAAAAAAAGGGTAACCCCCAAGTGGGTGGTGTCTCTCTTGGTGTTGACCCAATCAGCGCTCCTGAAAAATTAAAACATATCATACCAAACCAGAAAAGAAGGATGATGAGGTAGTTGAAGAGGAGAGTGGCCATGTTCTGAAGCCACGAGGAGAAAGGGGCAGGAGCCCTGCTTGGGGGCCACGGCCCTCCAGGCCCCGGCTGGGGTCATAGAAACTCGGAAACAGTGTTAAACTGGACCGAGGTCTGTAACTGAGAAGCTGGGAGTCTTTCTCCACTGTGAGTGGGCAGCAGGAACGGCGGCAGAGACAGCAGTGAACAGAGGCTGTGGCAGAAAACCAAGAGATAAGAAGAAGCAGCAAAGCCGGCATGCAGCCAAGCAAGAAGACACAGAGATGTCTAATGGAGAGAGAGTGAGAGAGAACTAAACTCTACAGACAGAGTTTTGGGGTAAGAACTGAACCAAAAACCCTCAAAACCCCTTTGAGACACCTCCTAGAGAGGAGGGGTGGACTCCCACTTGAGGGGAGTCTTGAAATGCAGCAGTACCGGAGAGAGGAGCTGAGAAGCTCAAGATGTCCTGGAAGCTGGACCAGGACAGCCAAACGGAATGCGGGGGAAGTGGCCTGACCCCCCGCTGCTGCTGCCAAGCTGGCAGCCTGAGACAGAGCACAGGAGCTCCCGTAGAATGCTTGAGGCAAAGGCTTTCAACTGAAAGCTGCCCGAGACGTTCTGACTCAGAGGCAAACCCCCTGAGGAAAGGGACCATCACGAAGACCCCTGCACTTCATGATATGACGTGGCGAAGAGAGCCTGTACCCGCAACCGCAGTCCACGGAAGAGAGAGAGACGTTCGATTGGAAGTTGAAGAGTCGAGAGGGGTGAGAGAAGACCCCTTGCGCGTAATGGAAAGAGATCCAGCTACAGCTGCTGCATGGAAGAAGAGAGACACTGCTGCCCTGAAGGTGGAAAGGATCTTTCCTTCTTCCCTCCTGGACTTTTATTGGAGGGAGAAGAAATTTGATCCAATGTAAATACTGCTTTATCATAAGAGAAATAGTTAAGATTGCATATATAATGTATTATAATATTTATTTGTGTAGTGATTGTAATATAATTCCCTTCCCCCCATATTGAGTCTTGTGTTGTGTCTGGAAAACCTCTCTGACACTGGGGTGAGTTGTGGGAGGGGGGGCTTGGACTCGAGAATTAAATTTTGGGGATCTCAAACCACCACATACATAAAGAGTGGAGATGAGCAGTCATTCAAAATGCACTGGAAAGATGCGATCAGAAAGGAATACATGGCAGAACCAAATACACCGCTATGGAAATAAAAACTCAGCAAATTTGAGACAAGTGTTTCAAAGACAAGTATTAATCTAAGGCTTACCTAAAAAGCAATGAGGGATTTCGGAAACCACATTTTCATTAAAGCAGACAAGGGGACGCCAATAGTGTGAAAACATGGGAACATGTTTGGAGCTACTTGCATCACGATTGTAGCAACCATCTACCCTAACAACTTTTATGTTTGATTAGAATTTTGCCAATATTTATCTTCGAAACACGCCACGTATATCTAACAGGTAAGTCATCACAAGTCACCTTCTTATGATGCAGCTGTATGTTCATTCACCACCATAAAAGCATTTCACAAACGTGCATTTTAGCCATACCTAGAACCACATGAACAACTTCAGAGATGTGGTGAATTATTGTCTCCAGATTTCCTGCAGCACAGATTGCTTTACACTTTTAAACATACAAAATAGATAAATGAAACATAATACTAGTACTGTTTTTCTGAAATCTTATTTAGAAGTAAATCAATTTGGAGACTTGATTAATTCAAATCTAAAGTTAGAAGGAAGAAATCAGTACATTGTCCTAGTAATTGAAAGATCCCAGTGTACCTGACAACATTTTATTACAAAATAACAAGCTGAACATAAAAAGGATCTGCAACTACTCAAATTTATTACTAAATGAACACAGCATCATATTTTAACAGTCTTTTAGCTTAATGTTGCTCTAAAATTTAAGTTCCATCATATCCAACTTGTGGTAAAATGCTAATAAAAACCTGTGTCTCGGGTGACTTACGGTACATTTCTTTCTTGGTAACAGCACACAAAGCAGTTTAGGCAGAAAGACATTGAGAAGGACATCATTGTGAATTGTCAACAACTGCGAAACTTAACTGTCCTGTTCAGTGGGTTTCATGTAAACATATTAGAGGATGATTATTATTATCATTATTATCATTATTATCAAGAGAGTTGTACAAGCATCTCTGCTTATTACCTTTCTTAGCTAATGGCACAGCCTAAAGTTTTAAAATGCTGCATTTGGATAGCCCAAACAGCATGGAACAGCTTGTAGGATTCCTGGGCGGCTACACACTACATGTAGAATTGCTAGTAATTTCTTTAGTTGTCTGATGAATAAGTTCTCTCATGAGGGACACTGAGAATTTCCCTCACAAGTCAATGTCTCTTATAGCAGGAGAGGGATGGAGGTCATAAGGGAAAGTCTCTGATACCTGAGAAAAAGTTAAGTTGGCAATAGAATTGATATAGGAGCTTGAAGCATTGGAAATGTAAAGTGTCAGCAGTCATGCTAAGTTAGACTTTGCATGGAAAGTCAAAATAGACAGTAAAGATTGTCTAGGCAGAAAAGGAGCACAAGAGAGTGCACAAGAATAAGAAAGTAGAAGTAGGATATCTTAAAACATAAAGACAAAAATAAAAATCTAAAATATTTTACATTAGGTTTTAATAACAGTTATACTGATCATGGAAAGAACAAACACATAATGGAAATGCTTCACCTTTCAGAAAGTGGAAATTAACACAAGTCAGATACAAGCAAAATTCAGAGGTGATATCAGATGATTAGCAAATACATCCCATACATTCATAAATGAGAAATGGAAAGGAGACAAGGCATTTGCAGACTTGTTAATCCAAAGCATGCAAGAAAACCATTTTGAAATGCTGAACATAAAGAAAAATGAGTTTTAAAAAAACTATCCTGATTTTCTTATCCAGTAAGTGATTTTGAACACAGATCTTCTGCTTGTTTTGAAATTTTAACCTTATAATAACTCTAAGTACTTCATCAGATGGAAAAGATGGGAATAAGTTTGAGGTGAGCAAGAAACTACCTAAAAAGGCAGCCAACAATGGGATACATTTCAAGGCCAAG